AAAGAGTGGAAGAACATTAATTTTAAATTTAGAAAGATACAAAATGTGCACAACTGAAGCACTTAAAACTGCATTCTGTTAAGCTGGCCTATCTAGGTATTTTGGCACTTTTACGAAAAACCTGAACATGCTCCTAATGAATATTGCCTTAAAGTAGGGATAGGGTAGGTAATTTATATCATGAAGTACAATGTTATTGATGCAATTATCGCAAAATAATTTCTAAAGAAATCTTGCATTGATTCAATACACATTTATTCATAGAAATAAAAATTAAATACAACAAAAACCTCTTCTTCATTAATAGAGTTTCACTGAATGCTTTAAACTGCAACATAGTCTGGATTATAACATGGTTATACTTAAATAATATACAACTTGAAAAATATACTTAGCTATTACACAGGGGTCAGCAACTTATAGCTCAGTAGGTCATCAAATACCTCTCTTTTGGCAATACACACGGTCCTGTCCCCCTGCTTCAGCCCTTCCCCAGGTCCAAAGCCGCGGCCAAGGCAGGCTGTGATGGCAGCTTGCTCCGTGTGCTGGAGCTGAGACTGGGGCTGCAGTGCAGCTGCTCCCACAGCAGCTTGGCCAACAATGCTCCAATCAGAACCCAGCCCTCATCTGGATGCAGCATCCTGAGGCCAAGCCTCTATCCGCAGGCAAGCCCCGCACTCCAGCCCTGATCTGGCTGCAGGAAGGGCTGGCAGCAGTATCCGCTCCTCCTCCTGTGGTATGGGGAGGACAGGAGGCCATGATCCACCTGCAGCAATCCTAGCCTACTGCTATATGGATGCAGCAGGCCAGCCCTGGGCAGGTAAGGTAATCCAGCCCCAGGGTCCTCCAACATACTCTACTTCCCATTCCCAGCACCATGCTCTGCCTCTGCACTCCCACACACTGCGGATGTTAACTAGCAATGAATACATTAAGTCAAGTAGTCAATGGAATTTCCATCGACTATTCGATCTACATTTCAGAGGCGGAATGCCACAGGGAGCCCAGGCCCAGCGGGAAGTCCTGCTGACTCGGAGCTCCACACTGGTGCTTCCGCTTTGAAATACCAGGTGGATCCCAGGGTCAGTTGGGGATCTCAGGCTCCACCTGGCATTTCAAAGCAGCAACAGTGCACGGAGCCCAGCGCTGCTGCTTTGAAATGCTGGGGGGACCCCAGGATCAGCTGGGGACTCCGTGCAGCATTTCAAAGCAGCCTGGAGCCCGGGACAAGGCAGGCAGAGAGAGAGAGAGCAAGGGGGAAAGGGGATGCGGATCAACTAGTCCTTAATATCCCTATCAAACTCCCCAAACCCCTGCCGTAAGATTGACAGAAGATAACCTGAATACATGCATGAAACTGGATTTGACGAGTTATGACGTAAACTTCAAAGAAATGTGTGAAAAGATGCAGCAGCAGAGGTCCCCTTATATAAAGTCTGTGAGCACAATGTTTCATTCACGGTAACTGACATGATTAATAATATTAAGTTGTATACTTTTAGTAATGCAAATGGATAGTCTTATATGGCTCTTTGTTGATAACTTGTTCTGAATTTGGATACAGTTTGACTCTTGGGTTTGAAAAGATTGTATTACACCTATTCCAACCTCTCCAACTGTTTTGGAAATGTTTTTCTTCCCATTTTCTCTTGCCTTGTTTTTATTTATATTAGAGAATATTTTAGTACACTCCCAGCGGGAGTGAAAAACAACAAGTAATCAATCACATGATCCCTCTCCTGTCATCCATTTCCAGACAAACAGAGGCAAGGGGCACCAGTCCTACCCATCCTGGCTAGTAAGTATTGATGGAACTAATCTCCACGAATTTATCTAGCACTTTTTTGAATCCTGTTCAAGTCTTAATCTTCACAACCTCCTCTGACATGGAGTTCCACAGATTCTCTTCATGCAGCGCACAGTCAAAGTTCCTCTCTTTGTTTTAAACCTGCTACCTATTATTTCATTTGGTGACCCGTAAGAGCCCGAAGTATCCTTAAGTGCCCAAGGAGTCAGGGCGTTTTAAAAACAGACAGTCAAAAAATACACCAAGAATTAGATTTTTCCCAGCCTCCAGTTCTCCTTGGTATCAAGGCCAAAACAAAGGCCATCATCAAATGCCCCAAAACTCCCAAAGAAGAGATAGAAGTTCAGAGGAAACCTAATGCTAAGGTTCAAACAACTCCAAAGAAAGTCCCAGTTCAGCATCAAGCAATGCTAAGTCTTCAAAGATTTCCCTCCCAGAAAGAAAACACAATTTGCCAAGACCAAAGTAGATGAATCTGACAGGGTTGAATTATGTTAAAAAAGTGAAATCTGATTTAATGAGTCAGGAAAGTATTCTTATGAATATCAAACTAAAAAAAGAAATGCATCTTACGGGTGCTCATTCTCTCTTTTTTAAATATACAAATTTATGAACATTTGCCATCTGTCACCTAAGATTCTAGATGCCTTCAGATTTTAAAGATTCTAAAGGTAGTATGCACATACAGTAATCTTCCTATAATCCGGCGCCTTTAGGACCCAGGGGGTGCCGGATTATCAGATTTGCCAGACTATCGGAAGGGGGGGCTATGAGGGGCCTGGGTGGGGGGGATGCCACCCCAGACCTCTCATAGCCCCCCCCTTCTGATAGTCCGGCTCTGCCCCAGCCCGCTTCAGCCGCAGGCGGTCACGTTTAACAGT